AGTACGCAATTAGTTCAATAAACTGGATTTTGATAATGGTGGTGTAACTGTTTATGCTTTAGACGCGTGAACGGATATGCATGATTTTTAAGTGATGCGAAATGTAATACAAAGTTTACATTATTGAACAGATTTTGTCATCGGATGAGGTAGTATCTGTGTGATGGCATGTAGTTTTGAAAGTTATGAGCAATTGTCTATAATCTAAAAAACCTGTTTTCACGAATCACGTTATACTTTCTGCGTACATGTTTCAGAAGTAGAATTTACTTTTCTTGTAAAAAAACTTTATTTACAATGGCGCTTTTCCTTTCTTTTAGGTTCAATACAATATTAAATTTTTTCACCAACTCATTTATGTACGTCCTATTTTCTGGTTCGAGTTAAATCGAATCAAACTTTAATCACAAATATGGACGAACCGAATAAATTGTACTGATATGGTGGATCGGCGATTCAGCCATAACACGTTTCGAAGGGTCCTTGGGAAATATTTCTCGTGCCATGAGTGGTACTCGAAGATCGATAAGAGCGCGCGATATGGGTAACATTTTTAAAACGATGTGTATATTTTAAAGGTATTTATTATTCATTGTTTAGTTCTTATATGTGAATAATTATTACATGAAGAACAAAAAAAAAAAATATAGCAAAAGAAAATTGTAAATCAACTATTGACAATGTATAACTTAATTGCCATTGCCTATGACTGAGCAAATTTCCCTTCAAAAATATTATTACGTATTATGGTTTATGCGATACTCCGAAGTTTAAACGCTGCAATTATAGGACCTGGAATACTTTCTTTTTCTCTGAAATAATGCTATCCATTATTGTTATTGTATAGGATAATAGCATTGATTTATCACAAATAAACTTCCTCCAGCTATTAAACGCACCTAACGCGAAAATTCACATGAAAAAAATATTGAAATAATAAATATCAAATTTCCGATCCTCTCTAATGTCATAGTTTTTCTAAAACGGCCGGAAAATATGGAGTAAATGCGGAAGGAAAAAACCGAAGAGAGGAGTTATAATCTGAAATTATTAGAAATGGCTACGAACGAAACACGAACCTTCGGAAAAGTGTTACAGCGCAACTATTGATGGCTTCAGCGATCTCATTTCTTTCCGTTGTCCTTGGAGCTGGTTTTCTTATTTTAGAGCCATCCGAGATTTTAAGCACTTTATTAAACTCCATAACAGGGCTTTTGTGCGGAGGTGTTCTTCTTTTAAGCATCCAGAGTTCTTTTTTCCTTTCTTTTGCATCTTCCATTATGTGATTGATTATTGTAATCGGTTCATGTG